TCCGTCCGCTTCCCCCTGCTGCCGTCTCGGTGTCCGCCGCCGCCCCACCTCCCCGTGGAAAGCCCCCGCCTGAAACCCTGGGCCGACCGCAGAGAGGGGGCTTAAATAGCTGAGGTAGCGAGGAGCGGGTTGCGGGGGTACGGCCGCCTTTCCTACATCCCGCCTGGCAGTGTGATGAGGATAGACCCCTTCGTTTACCCCGCCGGGTTACATGACTTGGGGCTGGATTTGTGTCCTCGGCTGTCATGCTGGCAATAGGTAAATTCCCAAGGTTGTGGTTTGAAATGGAGAAGATCTGGTGTCTTCTGCCAGATGGATAAAACCTGACTTCTGGATTGCCATTTGAAATGTCAGAACAGCCCTTGTATTCCAGGGCTTGTATTCCTTGTGGTTTTGCTAATGTTTTCAATAAGAAAAATGGTGTTGAACAAGGTATTGAGTTTTTTAAAAAGTGAAGGCAAGATGTTTAATAGAGAGAAAGATAGTGGTACAATAGTTTCCTGCATTGCAGTTCTGATAGCAGATAACTTCTTGACAGGACCAGAAAAGAGTAATGAAAAAAGAAGGCAGCACAAGCACAGATACTGGCAAATAGCTTTTAATAAATAGATCATGTTGGTAATGCTGTTACGGGAATGGAAAATACAAAATATGTAATACTTTAAAGCAGAAGCCTGCAATCACTGAGACGTTTATGGGCATTTCATTGTTGTTCTATAGCTCCGATTTCTAGTGAGGCACAGTTTTAGGAAGGAGACAGTAAAAAGCTAGTGGAACGAAATATGACATATTCTAGCCCAACTTTCTCTTGATAAACCTACTCATATTGCTGAGATACCAGATCATATCAAAGAAGGAAGTGTAGATATTCCATAGTTGGACATAAATAAAATTTTGAAATGAAATCCACTAGAGAAAGTGGGAATGAGAAAGTAAGGGACTGACTGAAAGAGATGTCATAAGGCATTTCAGAAGAGGTTAAGTGGAAAGAGAACTGAGGAATTGTGTTTGGAATGGATATCGTTAATAACTTCCATTTCTGACTTAAGCACTAAATATCACTCTGGGCCAGTTTAATTTGCTGCTAATTCAAAATACCACCAATTGATTAAGATTTTGTATAAAAGGAAACAACCATAAAGTTTAGTATATTTTTACTTCATTGTTACTCTTCGGTATAATTGGTGAGACTTGACACTCAGCAGTGGAAGTGATTGAGAAGGAGAACTATCCTGGATGTGTGTTAGTACATCATAGGACGGTTGGGAGCCACTGAAAACTAATGGATAAAAGGCCACAGAGTACTGAATAATCTATGTGAAGGAGTATTTAATAAAATGTTGCCCAAGATATTAATGAACTCAAATTGTAGTGACATATGCGGTTAAACATACGCGTTGTCACCTAAGCCAATGTAAATTCTCTTTATAAGTTGGGAACTCTGAATTCTTGGGTCTCTTAAATGTAGCAGTTACTCGCAATAAAAATTTATATAATGAAAAATTTCTGGGACTCACGGTGAAACAAAACAACAAAAACAAGATTGAGTAGCCAGTATTTCTGTTTGTAAGTAAAGCCTATGTTTAAGTACATTTGGTGTGGGTTTTTTTACTTATGACAATTAATCTGCTGGATGTCTTTTCATTGTGAACCTGAATGTTTTCTCCAGCACTGTGTTAATGCGCTTGCAGTCTGATTACATAGGCACTGAAATTCAGAAACGTTTCTGAAAATAAGTGCAACTCTTGCCTTAAGAAAAACTGTCTGTTCTTCAAAGTTAATGTTTTTCATTGTTGTTACATATTTCTAATACCATGGCTTTAGAACAGGACTAAGAAAGTGTAAAGAAAAGCTTTTCAATTAAGTGAAATAATAACTGAAGTTTGAACATGGTGGAGCCTGCTAATGATGAAGTTGATTCTTGGCACAGATGGGCTTACTGAACATAGTGCAGGAAAACCTGCAAGATCCTGTATGTAGCCCTCAAATTGGAAAGATTTTTAAGCCATCTGTGTCATATCTCAATCCTTTTCTGCAATGGTAGAAAATTGGCAACACCCATTAAAGTCAATTTTACAATTTCATTCTTTCATTTCATCATATTGTAAGCAGGGTTTTGGTGCTGTCCTCATTTATTACAGGCATTTTGCTTTGTTTCTAATTATTAATGAAAACATTCACCAGTTACAAGTCCTACTTTGGTTTCTCTTCTTTCTTCTTCAGGAGTGATAGATTTCTGCATTAAAATATAGCTAAATCCTGTAGCAGCCATTTTAAATTGAGTGTTTCAGACAACCTTTTCAGTGATTTCCCTCCCTGCCCCCCCCCCCCCCACGCCCAGTCC